TAAAGGAACAGGCAGCTCAACATGCTCCGGGGAACAAAAAGGACCCCAGCTGGGAATGCTGGTTCTTCCTGGCCAAGAGGAGCCGGGACACAGCAGACCGGATTTCATATCGCCAAGGCCCCATAAACAACTTTCTGTATGAACATTTATTTGGGTTTTGCCAATATTGCAAAAGGGAGGATTGCAGGGTCCATTAGCAAAGGACACAGGTGAGGTTAAAGAGCAGCTCTCAGGGGAAGAGGCTCAGCGGGAGAAGCCGACCCCAAAGGGGCCCTTCTTCCTTCCCTCCAGTGCTTGCTGCCCTTTGATGCAGCCCAGGCCAGCGAACGCACGAAGTGGCAGTCAAACCGATCCGGATCGGCCCGGCTAGGGATGTGTCCTGCCGAAAAGGACGTTGCCTGGGCTGACCAGGCCCCTTGACTCCCCTCTCGGGTGCCAGCTTGCCCTTCCAGGGACAGATCCCAGCCCTGCCTCAACTGCCAGCTCTGCTTCTGAATCAGAGGCGACACCTGATGCGGCTGCATTGTGGAAGCGGGCCTGGTCCTGAGGAGGGCCCCGCAGGTGGCTGGATGAGGGACGCACCTGCCGGGCTCTGCGTGACGGAGCCTCGTGCAGGTAAGGCTTGCTCTGCCACTGGAAATGGGCCATGGGGGGGATTCAGCAGAGTCTTGCCAGTCCAGGACCAGTGGGGGGGGGCAGGGGGCATCCAGGATGGACCCCTGGACCCCACTGAGCTCAGTGGCCCGTGCCTGGGGCTGCAGCACACGCGGGTCCCTCAGTCCTGCACATGGCAGGCTCCTCCCACACCGGGGAGACAGCCAAGGGCCGCTGTGGGCAGCACAGGAGGGATGCGCTGGGGCATCAGGACGGACCAGTCGCATCTTTGGGTGGGGCTGCCTTTGTCCTGTGGCCCCAAACAAGCCTCGGGCTGGAGGACCGATTCACAGTCCCCAAACCCTCGCTGTGAGATGCCCGTTCCTGAAACCTGCGTTATTTCCTGCAATTATACCCCTGCCTTCTCCATTCTCCTGTTATATCATTTCCCCATTTGGAACATGCAGCTTGTCTGCCTGGATTGGGGCACAGAGTTGGTTCTTCGTGTGATTGTCCGGAAAACCCCCAACAAGCTAAAGAAGATGAGGGATGAGCGAATAAAAAGCACGTGACACGCACAGTCAGTCAACAATCCACACGCGTTTATTTCTCGGGCTCCTCGGGCTCCTTCAGGTGTCGGCATACAGCA